TGGGGTATACAAATCCAAGACTATAGTAGAGACTAGACAACTTGACACGCCCCCATCATTTTGATGAAAATATTAAGGTTTATTTCTGGAATTTTACATTTATATAGCTCCAATCATCATCAGAGCACTTATAACTACTTATAACTTAAGTAGAGTAGTATTACAAATAATATACGAAAACAATCCCAAAGTCTCAAGGCGAAACTGTATAAACATCAATGTATCTAAAACATCCATCTATAGCTCCAGACTGTCCTAATTTTAGAATTTAAATTTAGTATGTCTAACATCTCGTCTCGACTACATAAAAATTTATAATTTATAGCCAATATCATGAACCCAACATAAAAGCTTGAACCATCTCCTATTATTGTTGTCAAATTTTGTTTATAATCCAAAAATATTTACATGGCAATGAAAAATGCATAAAAATTTAAAAAATTAATTTTTGTTCTTTTACGTACACATGGAAAACAAAAGACGAAAGTTTTGTAAGAAAATTCTCCCAAATTCAAACTGCTTCAAAATTAGATCATTTAATTACTACAAAAATTAGATAATTTTGCCTATAGCAATTAGGGAGCTATAAGAATGTTTCTTGGCCTGTCTAAAACTTTGATTTAAACATATATTTGAAATATAATGAATATATAAGCGAATATTTGAATAACGTAATAACAAGTTTTGGCTGCTTGGGATAGATATCTAATATCTATCATCTATACGAGTATACATATTAAAATTCTATTTCTTGGATGATTTACTTTAATAATAACAGAACTGAATTCCCTTTTTTAATGGGCTCAAGATGTAAAAAGAAAAGCTCTGCCTTCTTAATAAAGGACCCCCTTTCGGCTGTTTTTGTGCAGGGCATATAGGGATTTGCTTTAACTCTAGATATAAATATTAGTTATTGAATGATTTATTTTAATCAATATTAGAATTTGAATCAATATCTGAATTTGTTTTCTCTTTTACAGGGTATACAAAATTCCCTTATCTACAGATATTCATGATAATTTCTGAAAAAATTCCAGTATTATATAGGAAAACTTTGATAAGCTAATGATTTTCATATTAAACTACCTGAAACCCTTGGAACTAAAGGGGAATACAAAAGTTCCCTTTAACCAAAAATCTTCCCCTTGTCTTTCTGAATGACATGCTTTAATTTAAATTCGAATAAAACATCTGAATTTGCACACTGGAATACCCCATTCTCAACTCTGTTTTCACGATTCATTTGGCTAGTTTTCATGACCAATTTGGATAGTTAGTATTCCATTAAGTGTGACGAATCGTTAGTTGAAATTTCACCTTGCTACGAGCCCCGTCCGTTGGCCGCCCAAAACTTAAGCCTGTGCGACTGGAAAGTAAACAAGCAACAATTGCACTAAAAACTGATCGAGGCGAGCCATGCCCATATATCAGCCACGATTTGTAACGCGCTTAGTTTGGAGCAGGAGGAGGAGGGGGCAGTGGGGAGGGGGAGGGGGGAGGGTGGAGGTAGGGTAAACGGGGCAAGGCATTTAGCAATTAATTATATGACGCCGACATGCCATTGACAATGGCCATTGCTCCGAGCTGGCAACAATGGGCCATGCCCCAAAAGCAACAACAACAAATGAGAAATAAAAGAAGAAGAAGCAGCACAAATAAATTAACATTGCGAACAATAATAAATGCGCTACAAATAGCGCGCACAGATTCGCAGCTAAAACATTTATTAGCTCGCAAACAGATTTGCGAGTGTGTTGCAAGAATTGTTGCTGCTGTTGTATTGCCAAAAAAAAAAAAAAAATACAAATAAAATAAAGTAAGAGAAAAACTTTGAATAGAGATTCGAACATGGATCACACTATGAACATGTCTGTCTGTCTATTTGTCTGTCTGCCTGCTTCTCTGTCCCTCTGTTTACCTATATCTAATGCAAACAATAAATGCGTCGCCTTATCTGCTGTGCCTTGGGGCCCGTGACTGGCGTTGCCAAAAAAAAAAAAAAAAAAAAAAAAAAAAAAAATACAAAAGCAAATAACAATCATATTTTGTTGCTAAAGAATGTTGCGAATTTCCACTATTATTGAATGAAGATGACTCAGCTACTAACAATTGTTGCTGCTGTTTAGCTCATTAAATGACCCAATAACAACAACAACTACTACTACAACAACAGCAACAACAACAAGCATTAACAATTAGCTATGCCACACTCGCACACATTAGTTCGATTATTGTTTATTCAATGCAGTGCCCGCAGCTTCGACCTTTCGCGGCTGCCCCCAACGCTGGCGCACATGGCGTATGCGTAATATGATTCTGTTCGAGTTCGCACTTGCTATAATTATGACATCATCATCATTATCGTGATCATCATAAGCAACACAAGTTCGTGATCGGCTGACGCTGACGTCGATTACGTGCCAATGCGACTTGAGGCGCGTCTTGGTTTGATTTCACTTCAGTCCATTCCATATAGTTTCATTTCATTTAATTAGCCAGCCAATTCCCACAGAGAGCTCTGCTATATATATACCTTTAAGGTGTGGTCCCTTTATGCACTCAAGGCCAGATCTAGGCGTTTGCCTAGAACCAGCTACGGCTCAAAGTATTAATAAATTGATCACACTCTGATTCATGCCAAGGCAACAATTTGTTTATGCCTAACTCGACCCGGGCTAAGGCCCTAGCCCGGAGATGCTCCGGATTTGATTCCTGTACGCGATCTACCTGTAAACTTTGCATATATATGCAAGTATTTCAATTATAAATAAATGAATAGTATATATGTTATATATGATATACTTATACACTGCTATATCTCCTACTCAGATGCGTGCATCTCAATTGAAAGTCAAGATTAAAACAGTTGTTAAATTAAGCGACAAATTGTTCACTTGAAATGTGAAATCATCCAATGATGAGTGGTATGTGGATCATATTTAAATATAAAACACTAAGGAAACACTAGGGCAAGTGTTTTATATTTAAATATGATCGACTGACCTAAAATACCACTCAAAGCACGGCAGGCGGCTATAAGCGACGATATAATACTCGCCCCATTTTATCTGAATGTTATTATCCAAAACATAATAAAATAATGTATGGGCCTATCTATAGAGTACATAAACAGTAATCCATAGACAAGCTTAATTTGATTTGAATCCTTGTTAAAAAACTGTACAATAGATAATAACAATTTTATCAGTTTTAACAAGCTTCCAAGATATATGAATGAAGAATTCTTAGAGGAGCAGCCAAGAGGCAAAGCTGTGCGAAATCTTATCCAAGCCACGCCCTCCATGGGGTATATAAATAGTAATATACTAGTTTAATATAATATATAATAAGTTCTTTCTACCCGAAAATAAAATAATAATAAGGAATATACAAATTCCCGAAATTTTCGAAATTGCCAAATTCGTTACATTTTTTGAAATCTGAAATCATCCAATACTAAGAAGGCAAGTGTTCTATATTTAAAAACAAGTCAAAATACTGCAGGCAGCTGTATGCGACTATATAATGCCCATATAAACTCGTAAAAACTCTTAAATATAATCTAATATATTTTTATTATTATTATTCAATCTATTCGATCAATAAACACATTTGCTGATTGCAGTAAACCAATATACTCCATACGCTAGCCGAAATGAGTATACGAATGTTATTCTAAAGTGATTCCAGCCATCACAGTCATCCCAAGGCGATAAGACTCTAGATCCATGAACCGCAATCTGCATGCGTCAGCTGGACTGCAATGAGTGTAGGTCGGCGCTATCTATGCCTCGAGTAAGTACTATATGCAACTGCCGTTGCCATTGCAATTGCGAATTTGCAAAATAAACACATTTAGGAAACGAGGTCAGCTGATAAACTGAATTGTTTAAAGGAATTTCAATATATTTTCCAAAGAACTTTCCCATTTTTGGCACCGAAATAGCCAAAGCCAAGAGAGTTCGAGCTGGCATGTTACTGGACTGCGTAATATCCGTTAACAGAACGCTGACAATACTTGCGGGCTGCCAGATTTGGTTTTTTTAATCCGATCTTCAGTAAAATTTTGCTGAATTTCAATTTGTATAATAATAATAAACAACAATTTKGTTTATGCCGACAGACAGACAGTCGCAAATCAAGAGACGTCGACGTCGACGTCGATATATATAATAAGCGAATAAAGTAAATAAATATAATATGCGAATCAAATAATCTGCGCAACGGTGACATCATGGATATAGCAGAGCATCATCGGCGGAAGTCGGAGCAAGTTGATTGCTTTTGTTGTTACGATTCTCTGGCCAGTGGCCACATGTGCATGGAGCGCGGCGGCCAATCATTATTGTTTTGTATTCTTCTTCTTCTTCTTCCTCATCTTCTAATACAATTGGTCAGACAATCTCAACAGATTAATGACATCATGCCGGCTCGGTCTGGGCCGGGCTGAGGCCGGGGATCACACAAAAGACTTGAAATGCCAGCCACGCATTAGAGAACTACGCAGTTACAAAAAAGGAAGCACGCACGCACAACAACAACAACAATAATAAAACGAAAAAAAAAACAACAACAATCACTGCCAAAAAAAACTTCAAATGAAGTCATGAACAATAATGAAAACGAGTCTGAGCAATGCAAACCGGTTGATTCAAGGCAACTGATGCAAGGGTAGAAACGACAACAATAACAAATAAAGTAGAAGAAGAAGRAAAAGAAGAAGGTGGAGTTGACTAAGAACGAAATCAAGAGCAAACAACACGCGCAACAGCAGCCGGTGCGATAGTAAAGTAAAGAGAAAATGTAGCCCAAAAGGGAGCTGCGACACAGAGTTGAGAACAGTTTGAACAGGACTCACAGCATAGTAGATAAATACATACATACAAACATACATGTGTATGCCTTGATTAATATACAGCCACAGAGAATAGATACCGTACATAGCACACATACATACATACATGTGTGTATAATTACAATAGTTAACAATCATTACTCACCAGCTCAATGATCTTCAATAGCAAACGATTGTTAAACTCCATGGCGTTCCCGTTAATACGTCTGTGTTTCGCTTCTTTATTATTGTTTTTCACTAATTCTTCACTTCACGCAGCTGACCGTGTGCACGTCTTTCCCAAGCGCTGTGCGAAAACTGACTGAACCGAAGGTACGCCAGCGCGCGTATTCAAAGCTCAGCCAATCCAGGCAGAGGCGTAGCGCAGTCACGCCGAAATCAACAGCAATAGCGGCGACAGCGACAGCGACAATTGGTATGTGTTAGTGTATGCATGCATGTATGTATGCATACATATTTACAAATACGGAGAGATACTTCAATTCTTATCAACATTAATTGCCAAATACAAAACACATGTGTACACATATGATGTACTATATTAACATATTATACTTTTATATGCACGTACATACTTATTTGCATATGTAAGGCCAACCTTTTATATGTGTTATTAAAGTAAATAACTAAAAAACTAAATTAAATTTTAGATTATATTTTGTATAATATATGTACATATGCTACTACTATACAAATATAGAGCAAAGTATTAATATTATTATGGAGTTTTAAGTAACTGACAGATTCAAACTGTATGATTTATGAAGATAACTTTGCAAAATTGAAGAGCATTCACAATGTTACTTAACTTTTTGTTGACTATGTAAGAGCGTTTCTTATTATTGAGTTGAGTCTTAAGGACACATTAGTTACAAACCTATTATATGGAAGATGTAGAAAGTTACTCGAAATATAGTTCAATTACGTATTTCTAATATATTCTTACTGCCAATTTAAACAATGCAATGCCCCTCTCTCTCTCTCTCTCTCTCTTTCTATCTATCTTAAACAAACCTCAGCCTCAAAACTCAGTGTTTCAGTTGTTTTTTCTTTCTCTTGTTCTCTTCCCAGTATTTTATGTTTCTAATTCTCAATGTTCATACCTCCTTCCCATAGTTTTCTTTTCAGTTTTCCCAATCTCTAGTCACTCCCTCTTAATCTCTAAAAATAATTGTGTTTCTAACTCCTCTCCCTTTCTATCTCTTTTCACATTTATTAGCTGTTTCTCTCTTTTACACACACTCTGCCTCTCTCTCAATATCGTGTACCTTCCTCTCTCTCTCTCTCACTACCTCTCTGTCAGGCTAGTACTAAAATGGACGCATGTGAAGCTTTTTAGCATATCAAGTTTACACTCATACATGAAATATTGAATATATTGTTATAGAGATATACATATGTATGCATACAGGATAAGAAAAAGTTTAATGACAGTTTTGGGCAATGCTTATCAGCTCTTACATACATCTACTTATATTTGCCGTTCACTTAATTAATTCGATGTGTATTAAGCTTTTATAATATTGTTTTATTTTTATCCCACCTTATCAATAGGACTTTCGGATAAAGAAGAAACAAGTGCTTATGAGACTTATCTGTTTGCATAGGCAAAACCTAAAATAATAATTAAAAAAACATTAGAGTTAGCTTAACTATCTGGTTATGGCCATGCCAACGTGGGCCATGGCACGTTCCGCCTCGAAGGCAGACACAAACTGTGGCTCCAGTGTGGAGAGCGCACGTCGGCTAAGCAGGGCAATGCTCTTGGCCTCGCCATGATCCCGCTCGAACGCAATGTATTCGAGCCAAACGCTTGGCTCTTTCTTGCCAAAGTAGGTGGCCATGAATTCGTAGCACATGCGCCACGCCTTAATTGTAGATAGATCCTGTGGAGTAATAAATAGTGATATAGATTAGGAGATGTCAGTGTGGAACATTAAGAGTGGACTCACTTTCAGTTTGGTGCTTTCTATCAGGCTGATCATTTCGCGATGCAGCTGCAGCGACATCGGCGGCTGCTGCGCCAACTTGGCATATTCGTCACGGGCCTTGGCCGGCGAGTGCTCGTGCCAGAGGTAGCGCAAGTAGCTGCAACGCAGATCGGCAAATTCCGGCCAGGCCTCCTTGCAGGCCTGTGTGTAAATGTCATTCAGCTGCCGCTTGGCCTGGCTATCGTTGCGCGCCCTATAATAGGCGATCACCATCTGCCAGAGCGGCAGTCCGGCGGCGCCCATCGTACGGCGCACTTGGCTGAACAGTTTATGAACGCTCGACTCATCGTCGTTGCGAATGTGGGCGGCTAGCAGCAGCTCGTGCATGCGCAGCGAGTCGTCGTGCTGCAGTGCCTCGGTCAGGATGCGCACACAGATCTCTCCGCCGTTCTCATCGCTGCCCAATATCATGCTGAGCGTGGCGTAATGCCGCGAATGCATCAGCTTGGAGCGATGACCATCTTGCAGAGCGCTCGCCAAGCATTTCTGGATGTAGGCGCGCTCCGTTTTATGGTTCTTGCTAAGCGCCAGCATAGCGTCCAGATATAAGTTCCACATTTCTTGTGTCTGTAGCTGTTGCACTGCCGTCTTGTACACCTCTGCGCATAGTTGGATGCAACGCTTCTTCGAGCGCGTCTGAAACACTTTCACTTGGGTGTCCGTGCGCGACTTCTTCTCACTCGGCTCGCCATCATCCTCGTTTTCGGTCATATTCATAAGATCACCGAGATGGTAGCCACGTAGCTCACGCTTCGCCAGTGCATCCCATAGCGCTGGCTCACGTGAAAACTTTGTCTGTATATCCTCAATGATGTCGAACTGCAGCTTTGCAGTAAGCTCTGCATGATCCTCACAGCTCTCGAGCAGTTTCAGGAAGTAATCCAGGTTTGTAATATTGGCCAGGCTGTTGCGATAGATGGCCACGACCCGCTCCATTTGTATGTCTTGCTCTGAGATTGTGTTGTCGCCCAAGCTACGTTTGCTGTCCGCCAGCGCGGCCTCCTTTAACTGTATATTAAAGAAGCAATTGTTCAGCGACTCGGAGGCGGGATGACGTTGAAGTCCACGCAACAGTATATCCTGGACGCGCGGCATATTGGCACGATTATATTCATAAAGCCACACTGCGGCATTGATCCAAACTTGTGGATCACCACCATGATACTAAATGAAAATGAGAAGGAGAACGATTCATGACAACTGCTCAAAGTGTATATATTGTTGTCTTTGTCTAAGCCAACTTACCGAAAGCATCTTCTCATATATGCCAGCCACCTCCTGTGGCGCTGACTTCTTGCTGAACTTAATGCAATTCTCCCAAAGACGCTGCTCGTGTGGAAACTTAGTCAACATTTCCCTGTACATTCGCATAATACGCGTGCAAGTGGAGGCTTTAAGGCCCGTTAGCTTAATGCCGGCAATTTTTTCCTTTTCGGTAATTGTTTTATACATTGTCTTCTCGTAGACTATAAACTCCAAATAATCAGACATACTTTTCTTGCTTTTGGCTATATTTAGCAATAGGCGTTCTCGTTTGCGTATACATTCCCTGAAAATCAATTATTAATATGTTATATTCACATTTTAAAACATCATTTTAATGTAGTGAATAATTACCTGATTTGCTCTGGTCGAAATATTTGGTAGAGCTTCATTTGCTCGTACTCCGGCAGCAGGCGCTCCTGCATTTCCGCGATAAACTCACCCATATTGAATTACTTTATTTCTTACGCGTAGTGTAGCGTAGCAAATTATTATAGATTTAATTTATAAACTTTTGCTTCTCGCGCACGTTTTCTACATGTAGATGCAATCAGCTGCTAAGCATTTCTTATCGATTGTATTAAGCAGCCCTGGTATATTCATTTCGATAGACGAGGTTTTGACATTTGGGAAATTTTGGTCACCTAAAACACCAAACAATTGGGAAACTGGTCACTTTTTTCAAACACAAATTTTTTAATTTACAGTAAATAAATAAAGTTCCCGAAAAACAAAAGCAAATTGCAATGGCCGAATTCTCAGTAGAGCGCGTAGAAGACAAACGCACAGTTAATGGTCGCACAGAGTACTACTTGAAGTGGAAGGGCTATCCTCGCAGTGAAAATACTTGGGAGCCGGTCGAAAATCTGGATTGTCCTGATTTAATAGCAACATTCGAGGAATCATTAAAAAATAATAAAAAAGAGACAAAAAAACGTCTTTCCACATCTTCAACGCCGGAATCAATACGAAGTAAGAGAAAATCATTCATGGAGGAAGAAACAGACGAACAAAAGAAGCTGATTGGCTTCGATCGTGGCTTGGAGCCTTCAAAAATCCTTGGTGCTACCGACTCTTCCGGTTATCTGATGTTTCTGATGAAATGGAAGGGAAGTGATCACGCCGATCTAGTGCCTGCCAAGCTGGCCAACATCAAATGTCCCCAAGTCGTAATACAATTCTACGAGGAACGTTTAACCTGGCACACTGGAAATGGCAATGGCAACGGCAACGGTTCGGGCAGCGCATGTGGCAGTACGCATCATGGTGGTAGCGTTGGCACGCCTGGCAGTACTGCAGACGCAAGTCCAAGCGGCAGCATCAACGATGAGAATATCAAGCCTGACGCTGGCTCAGAACTAGGGAGTGGAGAGGCTGTCTAGTTGATTTACCAGAACTTGTTAAGGCAGCAAACACAACGCCATGTAAAGCCAACATGGATACACACGGACACCAACACACAGACGTACACAAACATGCTCGCTCCTACATTTTTACATACAAATAACATAGACATAATCATACATATACATATATTAATATACAGGCACGTTCATTTTTGCATCAACAACAGATAAAAATGTTGGGCATATTTCTGAAATAAAATAAGCGTACATACAAATATGTAACTTAAATATAAACGTCTGTATTTTTAATCTAGTTGGACAAAAGATTTATAAAAATCCTTTTGATAAACATAAAGTAATTGGGTCTGGCAACGCCAACTGAGGAGGCTGTCGATTATTTCGATAAGTAACGCCTCCAAGCCGGTAAACTAAAATAATATAAAGAAACTACAAATGCAAATGTAGGGAGCTTGATTAATCTATATATTAACAAAAACAAAAATAGAATAATGGCTCAATCAAGCTCGATGAAGCTCCTTGGCGCACGCAACATGAGTTGCATCGTGGAGCGCATGGAGTGGAACAACAAAATGGATCTCATTGCCTATGGCACCGAGAAAGGTTTGTCGCCAACATTATTTGGCAAGCATTTTGATCTATCTCTGATTATGGACCTGTATTGTAGGCGAGGTAGTAATACAGCGCCTGAATTGGCAAAAAATCGTCACTTTCCCGACGCCCGGTGAGGATGTTCGCGTGCGCTCCCTTAGCTGGCAAATGGATGAGACTCTGTTGGCCGTAGGCTACAGCAATGGAAAAGTTGCGCTGCTCGATGCCGAGAGCGAGACAATAATTTCGGGCCTTATCTACGAGGATGACATCAAGAAGGTATACTTCAGCAAAGCAATAAATTGCAAGGAAGGTCTGGACAGTTACACCTGCAACGCCAAGGACAAACACAAACGATATTTACCAAAGCTGCCGCCTCTAACCAATATCGATCCTTGCCTGAAGACTCTCGATCAGAAGTCATTTCCCAAGGGCTCGCCCTGTTTCCTGGTCGTTATTATGCGTAGCGGCAAAGTGCACTTACTACTCCTTGGCGCTTTGCAGGCGGGAAGCATTGATCTCACACAACATGTACTCAATCCCGATCAGTTCGATGTGTATGATGTGCGGCTGAATGGCGACTTTAATGCTATCTATGCACTGCTACGCGACGGTCAGCAGCTGAAGCTATTGCATTTTCATAATCAAGTGCTGCAGGATTCCATATCGCCCATGCTGGAGCTGGCTTCGCACTGTGCTCACATTCTAGAGACCAAAAAGTAAGTTTGTGGATAGCGAGTGGTGGAGTTGTGGCAACTAATTTCTTCATTGTTGCATCAGTTACATCAACGACACACAGCAATGCCTAACGGAGGCCTGGGAAACTGTACAATTGGAAATGGACAACAAGCTGACCAAGTATGCCAATTCTCAGGCTTATGGCATGATTTCTGCGCATTTTCTGGAGCTGCTCGTATTTGGATACGCCACCCTGGAGGTCGAGGAGTTTCTGTTCGAGTGAGTTACGTCCCTATACTCAGTATACAGTGCTCATGGGCTCCGCCGGTTTCTTCTCTCTTTTCATGATATCAAAATAACGGCATCCAAAACAACAGAACCCTCACGGAGAAGGGCTTCAAGAAAATAGCCAACTCAGTGGATCTGTCCCTGAACAATCTGCAAGGCCTAGTCTTCAAGCAGCTCAACGGGGCCGCCATTAATATGTTTTACTTCCTAAATACGATTGCGGGCTTTGGACGAATGACACATTTCTTCGAGGTTAGCACTAAACTTGGTTACACAAGATTCCCACAGTTTAATGCTCTCTCTCTCTCTCTCCTGTTAGGCACTCATCTCGCCGGATGTGGCCAGCGAGGCGATGCGTGCCTGCGGCTCCTTTTTGCTCAAGGTGCATGAACTGCAGCGCACGATCGACACATTGGTGTACGACATGAAGCTGTTCCACTCCTGGGTTATATTCACCATACTGCGTCTGTCCCATCAAGAGATACCCGACGATATGGTCTTCACCGGCAAGGAGAATCTTGCGCTGGCCGAATTCTTTTGCTCCATGGAACCGGAAATACCAGAACCCTGTGAAGACGTAGACATCAGCATCGACAAATCGGCGACGACGTCGACAACAGCTGCAGCAGCAACCGCAGCAACTGAAGAGGAGCTGCCGAGTGATGACAATCCGGCGCCGTCAGCGACCACGCGCAGTAAATTCAATTTGGAGCGCGTGGGGCAGTATCTGGAGAATGCTTATTTGACTCAGCCTCATCCCGTGGACCCAGCAGAAATCTGGCCACGCCTGCTGGCCGAAAATGAGTGTCTAGCCCAATGCAACCTGCTCGTGCCCCATGATAAAAGGCTCTCCCTAATACAACAGCGCGACAAAATGTTCAACGCCATTGATGCAGTATTCCACAAGCCCACGGAAAGTATCAGTGCCAGCTTCAAGCTGAGCTCGACTGTGATATGCGGCGACCTCCAACATATGCATGCCGAGTCTGCGGCTGAGCCGGACCAGCAGTCGAATAGCGATTTTGTGAATTGCAGCTACTATGTACATGAGGCAACCCGATGTGATATGCTGGCATTGACAATCGGCCGGCAGGAGGCGATGGTGCTGGAGTTCAGCCGAGGCGAGGACTGCCTGATGCGCTGCATTCGCGTGCAGCTGCAGCCGGGTCCATTCACCGCTCAGCTCCAGGAGGACTACTACAATCTGCGCTTTGTCGATCTACAATTCTACAACGAATCCTCATTGTCCATGCTGGCGCAGACGTCAACAACCGCGACGAGTGCACGTCCGCACAGTTACTTCTTGCAGTTCTCGCTGAGCGCCGCAAGGAATCACTGCACCCAGCACCAGTTGACGCCACTCATTAAACTGGACGAGGCAACTGTGACGCACAGTGTGCACGATATACCAGATGCGGCCGCCTTCAAGGCCCTGGACGGCGTCTGTGAGATGTTGGCCGTCTCGGGCAGTCGAAAGGTAGCCACCGTCCTCTCCGATCGGCGGCGCAAGATGACGATATTTGAAATGGAAATTGAGGAGGAAGAGGATGACACGGAAATGTCGCAGACATCGTTCTTAGAGATCAGCAAAGAATCCGCGCTGGCCACCGGATCCATCGACTTGGAGAAACACAGCGATACGTAGTATTAGCCAACCTGCAAAGTCAATCTCCTGGCTTAATTGGCACATGACTGTAGTTGAAATTAACTGGGTTTGATTTCCATCGCGCGACAGTTGTTTCTATTTTTGTTTTTATATTTTTTTTTTGGTTTTTCTCTTTCGGTTCAACTCCTTACATAGCAAACAAATTTTTAGGTATATTATAATTATAAAATACATTTATGTACAAAACAGAAAACAAGCGGTTCACATACCACATGTTGAGTCTAAATTAAATTTCATGCAACGAAATGCTGAAACGTTCAATTTTGAGCCACCAAAATGTAAATTAATTAATCACTTAAAAAGCCCTACCACATACAGACACAAGTGGGAAAAAAGAGAGAGAAGAAATGATAATTTGGCAATCGTTTCGAGTGAGAGAAAACTAGTGCTTAATTGTTAAGAGCTCAGATAATGGGAGAAATAAAATTAAAAGCCGTTAAACATAACAATTTTACTTAGTTCAAATGGGGTTTGAGCTGGTTAATACCTTGGCATGGTAGTACATATAGAAATATAGCCATATATATATTCATATACCCAACTAATTTATGACCCTTCTCGCACTGGCTAAAGATAAGCCAAATTGGTGCTTGGCTGCGATATGGATTAAATTGAGGACGAAGTGTCTCTGAGGCATGGACTACGGTTAAGATCATGCGAGCGACTGAACTAACTGATCTCATATTGATATGCATCATCAGAGTCCTCCTCACTGGACATGTCGCGTTTGCGTCGCCGCTGTTCGCGTTTGCTGAGCTTTTTAGCTGGCGCAGCAGGAGCAACAACAGCTGGCGTCTCCTCTACAGGGGGCTCCTTCTCCTCGCCGTCGATGTTCGACGCTTCCGCCTCTTCTACCTCGGCCTTCTTCTGTGTCTTGACCAGTTCGCACAAGTATTTGTAGCGCACTAGACACTCCTCCTTGGTCTTTTCTGGCACACTGTTGGCAATCTTCACCCAGCGATCGCCGCCGGCGGTTTTCCGATATTTAACGATGGCCGCCTCGAGGGCACGCTGCTGATCCTGAGTCCAGTTAGTCTCTGGTATAAGCATGCTCTTCTCATTAACGGTGGGCGTCGCCTTCTTGATCTTCTCCTTGCGGACTGCCTCCTGGGATTCCTGGACAATGTGCGCGGCAACGCTATCCGATTGGCCAGGTATACGATAGCCGTTCTCCTTCATCTTGGCCGCCATGAATGTCACCTCTTGTACGGTGCGGTTCATGGACTCGGCTATGGTGTTCCAGCGACTGCCAGCACCGCCTGGATATTTTTTAACTAGCCTAATGAGCTCAGTCAGATCCTCATCAGTCCAAAAGCCGCCGCTGACGGTGGTCTTTAAGCATAATTTATGAAAACAAATTAAAATAAAACATACATGTTTGATATATGATAATTATACCTTTTGGGTAACTGGACGTATTGCATCGTCTTCGGTTAGCTCTCGTGCCTGTATTTGTGAATAGCCACGTAACTCCTCCTCGGTCTTCTCCGGGGCCTTTGCGTTCTGCTTGCGCTTACGCAAATTTTCCTTTTGCTCTTTACGTAGACGCGCCTGCTCTTCAGCTTCTCGCTCCTGTTCCTGTAGGCGACGCTGCTCTTCAATTTCTCTGCAAGCATTATTAAATTGTTGAATTGATGCACAAGCTGAATCATCATCATTTCCATTTACTTACTGCCTGCGCTTCTCCAATGCCAGCTCCTTGAGCTCATTGGCTTTGCTAAATCCATTTTTAATTGTTCTTGGCAAATGCCAAATAGCGAGAGGGATTTGAATGGGCAGGGTATTGAGCAACGAAGGCATTGGGATCTCGTTCAGAATGACGTCCATATCAATATTTTTGTTGCGCTTCTGCAGCTTCTTCAGTTTGGTGCCGAACACCTGCTCGGCTGTGTATTTTGTCTCAAGGTAAGATGCCCAAGCAAACAGATACTGGCCCACGGTAATGATCAGGAATATGATGAAGGCGCCCTCATACAAGCCAATCTTACGCATTCGTCGATAGTAATAGAGAGCGGACTTCCAGTTGGGCATTCCATCGCGCAGCACCTTGTCGTATTTCTCGCGTTTCGATGCATCCTTGAGCACCTCGTAGATGGAGACGAGGTTGCGGAACTGGATGTTGGCATCCTCGGCCGGATTCTTGTCGGGATGTAGAACAATGGAAAGGGTGCGAAAAGCGCGCTTTATTTCATTGTTCGTGGCAGTCTGATTGATGCCCATAAATTCGTAGAAATTCTTGTTGACCTCTTCGACCAGATCAAATATCTCCAGCTCCTCGGAGTGCCAGGCGTTGGATGAGCCACATAATAGCAGTAGCCCAATTAATATAGCTGGCAGTGTTATGTTGTTGTGCAACTCCATTTAAATGCTTTAAAAATTAACTAAAACGGAAAAGCGGCCGACCCCCGCTCGCTTACACATACAATCGCACCAGTCATTCGTGCACGCACTCACGATGAACTGTCAACGTCAAAAGTGGCAACGTCAGCAGTAAACAAAAACAATATGTGCCAAAGTTGCCACACCAATCGCTACCAGGGTGGCTATGTGAGCGATATTTTTAAATCAATAATAAAAGAAAATGTTACATAGCTATTAATTTTAAATACACCTTAGCTTATTTGAATAGTAACAAATAAATTTGACAATTGACAAATTACAAATGACCGTTAAAGTCAAAGCTATCGATAAAATCATCAGCAACTATGCAAAACAACACAGGCTTGTTATATGGTAGCGATATATCGCATAGAAAACATTGCTAATAGCAGCCACACACAACCTAGCACTATAAGATTTGCAAAAGACGAAAACAGTGAAAGCGGTGTGAAAAAGCAGGCGAATAGAGATAAGAAACAAAATACAAAAGTCAACGCAAGCAGCAGCGGCGCAGCGTCAACTCAGCGCTAGCCGCTGGGGCTGGTTTTAAATGGATTAAGCGTTGCTCGCACAACCAGATAACAATACACCAGGGGGAAGTGAAGCGAGAGCGCGGACAGCACCGGAACAGTACGGAGCCATGTCTTCGGCCGTTAACATACAAATCGTATCAATGCCGAATCTGGCCAAGATCGAAAACTTTTTCAAGGATGTCAGCTACCGTGAGACGATCGAATATAGCGCCAATTTTAACACACGCCTCTGCATCGAACGGCGATTACGATTGCCATTTCTCGATCCACAAACGGGCGTTGCGCAGAATCACTCACAGCTATTCATGGACAAGCGACAGCGAATGCCTGGCTTTCGCCAGGGCCAGATCTACACGTATCCTGCGGCTCGTTGGCGTAAAAGTCGCCGCCAGTACTTGACCAAGATGTACAGGTGAGTAATCATTGAACAACAAGTTATTCTTATACCTAAATGTTAGGTCTACTCCACCACAAACTTGCAGCCGGTTTCCCGAGCGTCCCTTTCAGGCGCTTCGCAAGGAGCACGAAGCGCTAGTGGCTAGTGGCATTAATATTGGTGGCACTGCTATCAGCGGCACTGCCAGCATAGCCAGCACTAACAGCAGCAGTTCCACGCTAAGCCTCAATATGCTGACGGGTGGCGGCGCATCGACAACGCCGACCGTTCTGAGCACGCTGCACAATGATACAACGCATGACTTCAACGGAGCGTTCAGCATGGAGGAGTCTTGTTCGCTGGGCGCCGCCGGCGGTGACACATCCGATAGCAAAGACAGTCAATTGCAAACGCAACAGCAGCAGCAACAACAACAACAGCAGCAGCAGCAACAACAGCAGAGTCAATCAAAAGATGATTTGCCCAAGGAGTGGTTCTACGATGAAATGGACATGAATGATGTAGATTCGCTGGAGGATCCGAAGTCTCCAGCAGACGATGAATACGATTACGATCCGCGATATGGTAACAAAAAGCGACGCAAACGCCGGCCGGGCAAACGTGGATCGACACATGCCAGCAATGAAACTGCCACTGCTAGCAACAGCAACAGCGCGCGCCGACGCAGCGCTGTGACGCGAACGCGCGTTACTACCACAGATGCGGCGCTGGATGCGTCACTGGAAGCGATTGAGGCGGGTGACATTGGCGGCACGCCGACATCCAGCGGTGGACGCAGATCTCGCGGCGCTGGCACACGGGGCAGGCGACGTGCCAAGGGTACACCAACAGGCAACAACACCACTGGCACCAGTGGCATGCCCAGCAATACATGTGATCCGCCCAGTCCGGGCCTGGTTAATGAACCGCCATCGTTCGAGAGTGCCGCCGCGGCTGTCGGCGTGGGTGGCGTCGGCGTTGAGGATGGCAATGCGCATTTGCGCAATTATCGCAAGTATCTGTAACGCTAGGATCAGCCCATGTAGGTGGCATTTCGTATGGACCACATTCACCCACTACCTAACCTACCTATCAATCTATCTAATTAACTGTTTATCGCATTCGTTTCATAAACGGCGATTCACTATTTTTTTCAACTTATTAGTAATTTAAAATTAGCGTAAGACCTAGTTTTTATTAGTTCCTTATTCGAGTCCAGCACCTGACTAGACCAGACCAGACAAACCAGGACAAAACACATCCAAGCAGGCGTAGCAAAATTTTTATTCTACTGGTAACTCTGTCGCCTATCTAATTGTACGTTCCCATAGCCAATTTATTGTTGATAACCTATATACATATATATATATAAATCTATATACATACAAACAAACACATCCGATACATACATATTATTTATACATATGTAATGCAAATTTACTTAAACAACAAATGTAAAGAAACGAAGCGGCGAAATTCTTTACAAAATTTCAAATGGTTTTTGTTGCCGCCATATTAAATATTTTCACACTTAATATTGTTTTTTTTTTTTTTTTTAAATTTTTATTTTTTGTTGTTTACTTCATTTATTTAATTAAATACAATTAAGTTCAAATTTCAAATTCATTGGCTCCATATATTCTTAGGCAGTGTGGTAGGGTTTAAGGGTTTCAGTCCAGTCCAGCGCAACAAAAACAATTTCGTAAACCAAAATTTTTTCTATAGGATATAGTATATTTCATAAGGATGTGAGAGAGCTGAAATACAAATTAACAAACAAGAAAAAAAAAAGAAAAACAAAAATAAAAATATTGTAAATTTTGAAAATCAAAGACAAAAGTTCTAATAAAATTGAAAATCATAATTTTATAAACCTTTGGAAGGCTTTTAGACAAATTTTTGAAGTTATTTAGATCTGGACTATACATGCTTTTTTATAAGAACGTACACCTATATGTGTATATAGTGTATACAGCACAACCATAAAAAATTGGCTGGGCAAATACAAAATTGTACGAATAAAAAACATGAGATATTTATATGTATATAAACTCGTAATTATAAATCAATTTTCAAACAGATCTCTATTTTGTTTTTGTTTATTTCATATCGAACTTACAAACGACAAATATTGAGAAACTTAAGTATAACAATCTCGTTATATGGAAACACAATCTATTTTGTATGTATGTATATATACGATAAGCTCTTTCAATGGTCTTTATTTAATAGAATTTTATTCGATAAAAATCAATCAATAATAATCTTCATTATTTATGTGATCTTAAGCGATGCTCTTAATGGATGACGTCACAAGATTTTCAGCTTTCAGGCAAAAACTTCACAAAGAACAGCTCCTGTTGGGGATTTACCGTTCATTGATCATATGGCGCTACTGCTGAAAAACTATCGATGTCAATTAACTAAGCGATGCAAAATCACATCATTTGGAGACTTTTGCTTTTGGAGACTCAATGGCTGCATCTTTTGCACGTTTTGGCAATCTGGATGAGGATGTTGGCGGCGATGATGATGAACGTTTGCGTTTGTTCGTTTTCTCCGTACTCTTGTTGATTATTTGCATTATTTGCTGATATATTTCATCGACATTGGGAAATTTTTGGGCACGCGGTGTGCGTTTCAGACCGGACCAAAGGGATTGTTGTTCGTTGACTATTGTTGTAGGATGTGGGGCGAAGGACAACTCGAATGCTCCGCGTCTGGGTGCACCCTGGGCATTAAGTTGCAATTGGAGCTGGAAAGGCTGATCTGCATCTTGAATTTTACTTTGCAGAGCAGCATGTAACTCCTCGGCGCGACGACGAAAGACCCGTCAAGAGCGACAATGCTCAATATATAGCACCGGACTGTTCGCATCCAGAGCCTTGGACTCGTCGCTTGTTGCCGGTGACTACTCACGATAATATATATGCTTAAAAATATGAATTAGATTTAGAGGGGCACGTAATAATACTCACAGATTTAGGAACAGCCTTTTTAGCACGCTTTGGTGGCATTTTTATTTATAATAAGAAAACTGCGTTTTAAGAAAAGGCGCGCTGATAGCACTAAGAAAACCTTCTGGATTGTATCGAAATATCGATGTTTACGTGTATTTTTGCTATAAATAATTTGGTGACCATATATTTTTCTTTAAAATTAACAAGTGACAATCGATAACTTATTTTGCCAGTTAAAACCAATTGCAATATGCATATCGATAGAACAATGTATGGCAACGCTTGACCTACATACTTGGTTTTTATTTGCTATTTTCTTGAGTTGAGCAGTTAAGTTTTTGCAAGTGCTTAAACAAATGCGAAAGAAGAAGAAAAAGATTTGGATCTGTGTCCATTGGTAGTTTTATTCTATGTGAGTATTCTGATTAGACTTAAAATTTACTTGCAATTAAGTGAACTGCTATAATTTGTAAATTAAACAATTTTATGGTAGTATTAAAACTGTGTGCGCCGGCTAAATCAAAGTGCCTATACATTGATTTTGGCGCCAACTAAAATCAATGGACGAACCGACGTCAAGCAAAGTGACAAACGCGCCGGCGAAATTAACGACGCCGCGCAAATGTCTCGGCAGCCCTCCGAAGAGCAGCCCACAACCGACTGAGACCGAAACGCCAGCCGAGGACATCGGGGCAGAGAGCTTCGCAGAATGCGTGCCCACAGTGTCGCCTACATTAAACGATTGCCGGCGCAGCTCTCGCAAGAAAGTGATTAAGTTTGATGTTCGGAAATTGCTCAATAAAAACCGAAAGGCAAACAAGTCGTCAACTGATGCACCTGTGCCAGCAACGTCAACAAGGTGCTCACTTGACGTACGTGATGTCGCTGCGGCAACAACAACGCCAGCAGCAGCTGCAGATCTGCAAGTGCCTACGTCATCGCCATCGCTATCTTCAGCTGAGCCGTTTGCGAAGACAAAGCCTAGAGAGTGCCAGACACCTGAGCAAGGATGCAGAGAGGAGTCGGACTTAGCTGAGAAGCAAAGTGAACGAGATTTACTGTTTCGGAAACAGCGCAAAAGTGGACGGAACCACAGCGCACAGGCAGCGCTGACAGCACAAGTTATAGACGGAGGCACTGTAGAAAATAGTCGCAGCATCACTTGTGTTGACTCGGCTACTAATTCAACCACTGCCTATGGTGGAATTAATGCCTACACCGACTATCTACTGAAAACCAAATTTAGACACAAGTTGCGTGTCAACGTTAAGCGTGAAACTATGCCGCCGCTACCAAATCGTGCATTAAATGAACCAAAGCCGCCACTGGACATAACAGGAATAAATATGAAGACTGATACAATAGTTAAGCTCCCAACTGACAAGCAATCACAAGAGGCTCAGCAGACGCCAGCTACTAACGTGAAGGTGATGCTTCGCAAATACAAGAAAAATCAGCGGCGTCAGGGGGAATCGGAAACCGATGCACCTAAGAAAATCTTAACTGTTGGAGCTGACAAACAACTGCCACAACTGAAACCACAGAGTACAAGTAGCTTAAGAGAAGAAAATGCAGAGAAGGAGCAAGTGGAGGACTGTGCTGGGCCGGTGCCTTCGGCCAGGCGGCGTAGCAACCGCTCCAGTTTGCGGGGCTCCACAAACGGCTGCAAAATGACGCTGGAAGAAACATTTGCTGAAATCGCAGCCGTCAGCTCCAAAATAGTGCTGGAGAGTAAATCATACGAACAGGAGTCGCAACCAGCTGCAACCACTGATCTCAATAAGCATAATATCAGCAATAGCCCTAAATCAGGGCTGTTGCCGCAATTGGATGACGAATCGGAATCCATTTGCAAATTAGAATCACAGCAAGAAATGCCTAACACTGACATCCAATCGGAACTTGGTTTTGCCTCGAAGTCAAATCAAGCAAGCACTGATTTGTCAATCGTAGTTAGCACTGTAGAGTCAGAGCAGCAAGCAAACAATATTGCAACTTCAGAACAGAAGCACTCTATAGATAATTTGTGCAGCACTCAAATGGAATCTAGCTCGTCGACTTCCAGCGCTTCGGTGCCTATCGTCTCCGACACGGCATCCTGCATAGAGAAATCATTAGGCCCATTGGAAGCTGACCCCAAGCTGGAGACGGCCGAGCAAATAGCAGGAGAGGAAAAGACTAATCCGAGTTCCATTTCCACAGCCTCTAGCAATGTGGACGAGAAAATCAATCAGGAAAAGGAGAAAACAACCAGCGTCGTTGAGTGCGATGCGCTCTTCAAAGCAATGGATAAGGCCAGCGCTCAGATGCGCCAGGAAGAGAAAACTAAAAAGAAACTTAAATTAGAGAAGCGATCGGGCAAGCCGGAACAGGAACAGGAAAGCCACAACAACACCAACGCCAACGCCACCACCAGCATCAATACCGATACCAACACCATCAATACCGATACCAATACCGATATCAACACCATCAATACCGATACCAGCACCACCACCATCACCAATACCAATATCGACTCATCTTCTGCTGAAAGTGCCATTTGCAAGGATCGTGCCGAGGACTCTCTAACGTTGTCCACCGACAAAGAAGGCAACTCGCAGTCTCCATTGAAGGCAGAGCAGGCTAATCCCGAGCCTGATCCCGTGTCCCAGGCAAAGGCGAAGAATGTGTCCGGCAAAGACGCCTCAGAGTCTAAGCGGCTGTCGAACAGCCTGAGCTGCCAAGATTCCATTGACTCCGATTCCAGCGCATCGCAATGCAAAGTCAGCGAAGCGTCCGAGTCATCGGAATCCATCGGTGGCGGCAACAAGCTGCCAAGCTGTGGCATACCAACGCCAACAGCTGAGCTGACAGATCTTGCCCAGATCATAGAAGATGGCGACTACAAACCGGACAATGGGCAGGAGTCGCAGGAAGATGAGTTTGCACGCTGTGTGGCAAATATTGAGACACCAATCACGACACCCTCAACATCGCCGCAGCCCAGCAATAGCGCCACGGACGATGCAGCTGGTAATGGGAATGACAATGGCAATGACACTAGCAATGACAATGGCAAGGGCAATGCAGTGCGTCGCTCGCATCGAATCAAGCAGAAGCCGCAGTTGCCCAGATCCAGTCTGAGCAGCATGAGCTCCTTCAGCAACGTCAATAATCAGTCGACCGTACCCGTTAGTCTGGAGGATCAGCTGGCCGAGCTGGCGATCATCGATGCCATCAACGAGCAGTTCCTGCGCCAGCACGGTCTCAACTCGTTTCAGCTGTTGCAGGACAATTACTACCATTGCGCCCGTCAAGTGAGCAAGGAGAATGCCGAGATGCAATGCGATTGCTTCCTCACCGGCGACGAGGAGGCCATGGGGCATTTGTGCTGCGGCGCCGGTTGCATCAATCGAATGCTAATGATCGAGTGCGGTCCGCTGTGCACCTATGGCGACCGTTGCACGAACAAACGGTTCCAGCAGCACCAGGGCTGGCCCTGCCGCGTCTTCCGCACCAAGAAGAAGGGGTGCGGCATTACGGCGGAGATGTTGATACCGCCGGGCGAATTCATAATGGAATATGTGGGTGAGGTCATTGACAGCGAGGAGTTCGAGCGCCGCCAGCATCACTATTCGCAGATCCGCAATCGCCACTATTATTTTATGGCGCTGAGGGGCGAGGCGATCATCGATGCGACCGTCAAGGGCAACATTTCGCGGTACATCAACCACAGCTGTGATCCGAATGCCGAGACCCAGAAGTGGACGGTGAATGGCGAGCTGCGCATCGGTTTCTTCAGCGTTAAGACGATCTTGCCTGGGGAGGAGATCACCTTCGATTATCAGTATCAGCGCTATGGCCGTGATGCTCAGCGCTGCTACTGCGAGTCGGAAAATTGTCGCGGCTGGATTGGCGGCGAGCCGGACTCGGATGAAGGTGAGCAGTTGGACGCGGAGAGCGGCAGTGAATCCGAGGAGCTCGATGAACAGGAGCCAGAACTGGAGCCGGAACAGGCACAGGGAGTGGAAGCAGCTGACAAGAAGGGCCACAAACCCAAAGCAACCAAGCTCACCAAGCCAAAGGCGAGCAAGTCATCGAAGGTGGCGGCGTCAGCACCGCGCAAGAAGCCCACAAAGCCCAAGGATCGCGAGTACAAAGCCGGACGCTGGCTACGTCCGTCCGGCAGCAGCATTGGCGACAAGTTTGCCTCGCACATGCCCGACAAGCGTGAAGATCCGGATGTGCTGGCGCAGCTGCGTCAGCTCAATCGCAGCGGTCTCAAGAATCAAGCGAACACGCTTAGCTTCTCGCGCTGCATGGTGCGCGCCAAGCTGCTGGAGACACGCCTGGAGCTGTTGGGCGTGCTCACGCATGGGGAGCTGCCGTGCCGTCGGCTCTTCCTTGACTACCATGGCCTGCGACTGCTGCACGCCTGGATCAGCGAGAGCGGCAACGACCATCAACTGCGGCTGGCACTGATCGAGGCCCTGGAATCGCTGCCCATACCGAATAAGACAATGCTCAACGATAGTCGCGTCTATCAGAGCGTGGAGCTCTGGAGCACCAGCCTGGCGAAGGGTCGTTCTAAGAAGCAAAAAGCTACACAGGAGCAACAATCAAAACCAAATGCGGAGCTGGATGCACTGCGTCAACGTATGGTGGCGCTGCTGCAAAAATGGAGTGCCCTGCCCGAAACCTTTCGTATACCCAAGCGTGAGCGTATCGAGCAGATGAAGGAGCACGAACGCGAGGCGGATCGCCAACAGCAGACGCCCTACGCGGCCACAGCGCTGGAGGACAGCAACAGCAACAGCGCCTCCGCCACGCTAAACAGCGATCCCTATCGGCAGGATCGCTTCAGGCGCGACACCAGCAATCGCTACGAGAAGCCCAAGCCGCAGCTCAAGGAGCGCAATGGACGCGGAGAAGGCGCCACTGGCATCAGCCATGGCATGGTCAATTCAGATCCTCGCTGCCAATCCGATAATCTGCGTCGCGCCATGACTAAGAAGATGCGACGTTCATTGTTCGAGCAAAAGGTATGTAAATGCCAGAATACTCTCATCAAGAGTGGACTGTATATATAGACTATATCTTCCATCCCTTTTAGGCGGCGAAAGACAAGGCGGACAGGCGTATGTGGAACAGAGATAGGCGCGAGCATGAGGTGCGCTGCGAATACTTTGGCGCTGACCTAAGCACCGATCCGAAGCAGCTGCCCTTCTACCAGGATACGGAGACCAAGGAATGGTTCAACAGTGAGGATATGCCGGTTGCAGCGCCGCTGCGTTGCGGCAAAGCCAGCGACGATATCAGTGACGAGCAGTCGCCGGAGCACGGTGATGATGTGAAGTATAAGTTGCCCGCCAATGTGGAGCCATTGCCGCCATCCTGGCATTTTCATGTGACCCCCGAGGGCGACATCTTTTATTATAATCTGCGGGATCGAATCCCGCAGTGGGAGCCGCCGAATGCACAGCAACGTCTGGAAAATCTGATAGACGATTCACCAGTGAAGGAGAAGCCAGCCGAGAAGAAGGAAGTGAATCCCGACGTGCTGGTCGACATTGATGAGGACTATGTGGGCAGCCTCAGTCCCAAGTCGCTGCGTCAGTATATCGAGGCAAAGGTCCAGGAGCGTCGCGAAATACGTCGCAAGCGACTCGTCTCCGTCTGTATGATCAGTCCGCGACGCGAGGAGGACCGTATCCACAATCAGCAGGAGTCGCGCAAGTATAAGGAGAACAAGGAGAAAATACGCCGCCGCAAGGAACTCTTTCGTCGCACCAACAGCGAGGCCAACAACGCGGAACCAGCTGGAGCTGACCAAACCAGTGATGTAGTGCCCATTCAAGACTATTTGTACTCATCCGATGAGGAGTCTCAGCCAAATCCGGCCTGTGCCGCCCAGCCACTGAGCGACATAGTTGTCAACGGCAATGACAATGCGCGTGTGGACCAGATTGTGGCTCTCAATGCCAGCAAGAACTCAAGTAAATCGGAAGAGTCCATCCATAACATCACATTGGGGCTCACATCGAGCGACTCCGATGCAGATTCCCCGCTCAACACAAAACGTAAACTGCCCATGCCACCACAACTGACGGACAGCAAGAAGAAACATCGCGATGATCGCGAAAGGAAGCGCAAAACGTAAGCACAACAGCTCCACAAACAGATTCGAGCGAATCCCAATCGTTCAATTATTCATTTCAGGTCACTGAGCAGCTCATCCAGCAGCGTCGAGAAGTTTCGCTTTGAGATTAGCGGCCATGTGGCGGAGTTCCTGCGTCCATATCGCAAGGACAGCTGTCACATGGGTCGCATTGTCAGCGATGAGGACTATAAGTTTCTCATCAAACGAGTAAGTAATAGTAAAAACAAATCAGAAAACTTAAATCGGGGTGCCCTGATTTCCGACGGACAGACAGACAAACAGTGCTCAATTCTTCTGCAATATATATACTTTATTTGGTCGGACACGCCCCCTTTTATAAAATCAATATGACCTGCATACCTCAATGGATTCAGGGTATACAGACCTGTATTAAGAGAAGTCGACTAATGTGAATATTCTTATCCTTTAAATCATATATTTCAGCTGAGCCACCACATAACGACCAAAGAGATGCGCTACTGTGACTCGACCGGAAATCAACTGGCCTGCACTGAATCGGTGAAGAATAAGTCATATGAGTTTATCAATCAGTATATGCGGAAGAAGGGACCCGTGTACCAGAAGCCATCTGATGAGCCCGACTATTAATGATCAGTATCAGACCCACTCAGGCACTTTGTAACTTTAATCATATATTTAGCTTTAATCGAACAGCGAATGTTTTCTCATTTTAATTTTGTTTTTAAAAATGTTTCTACCCAATGTTTGGGTATACAGTTACTTAATTTCAGCAATTTAACTGAATACAAATTGCTAAGAAAAGACTATGAGCTTTCTCGTTGCAAAACATGAAATAAAAAAATATATTTTTCAATGCGGAGCTTATTTTTTTCTTTTTTAATATTGATCAACTACTTGACTAGGCTAACGCAGCAATTCCTAATGACATACAAAGAAAAATGAGGATTGTATAATTGAAGTCGGAAGCTAATACATTTTTAATTCAGTTAATAATTTAAAGCAATACACAGAGAATTCTAGCGACACACATTACAGTTGTCTGTATGTGTGTGTGTGGGGGGGTTTGTAACTGGGTAAGTGAGTGCTCGTCTATTATTGGGCGGACTGCTTTTCATCGGCTGCTGGTGTGCGATTCGCTTCCTCGGGTTTCATGGCGGGGAACAAGAGCACCTCCTGCAAGAGAACATCATATATATATTAGGGTATGAAAGCAAATAGTTTTGTTGGAAACTTCTGATTTGGTACGCACCTTGATGTTATTTGAGTCGGTCAGGAACATGGCTAGTCGATCAATGCCCATACCCCATCCTCCGGTGGGTGGCAGGCCGTATTCAAGCGCCGTACAGAAGTTCTCGTCCACCATTTGAGCCTCGTCATCGCCAGCGGCTTTGTCGCCAGCCTGCTGTTCGAAACGTTCCCGCTGCACCACGGGATCGTTAAGTTCTGTGTACGCATTGCACACCTCTTTCTTGGCCACAAAGAGCTCAAAGCGCTCCGTTAGGCCGGGCACACTGCGATGGTACTTGGCGAGTGGCGACATTATTTGCGGATGCTCGCAAATGAATGTCGGATTGATGCATGTCTCCTCGATGAACTCACCAACCAGTTTGTCTAGCAGACGGGCGGTGGTACGTGGCGGCGGGCACTCCACCTGATGCTTGGCACACAGTTGGGACAGAAACTCGTTGGCAGCCGGACTGTTGAATGTGTCCGCTGATGGAAACTTGACCTGCAGCTTCTCTTCGAGACTCTTGATCATAGACACACGTTTGAATGGGGGCGTAAAGTCAATCTCTTGCTCGACGCCTTCGGGGCCATCCGGATGGTATTTAATTTTGTACGAACCATGAATGGCCATAACCATACCAGATAACATTTGCTCAGTAATCTCAATTAGATCGTAATAGTCAGCATATGCCATATAAAATTCACAAGTGGTAAATTCAGGATTGTGGGTCAAATCGATGCCCTCGTTGCGGAACTGCCGACCGATCTCATAAACCCGATCCAGACCGCCTACAACAACCATTTTGTGATACAGCTCTGGTGCTATGCGCATGAACAGATCCATTTTGAGTTCGTTGTGATGAGTGACGAAGGGCTTGGCAGTGGCGCCACCAGCAATCATATTCATCATTGGTGTCTCAATCTCAAGGAAGCCCAGGCGATCCAGAAACTGGCGAACATATGATATTATCTGTGTATGAAGAAGCACGATATTATAGGTTTACATTTATTTAATGCTAATATTGTACACATAACTGTTAATGTATTTTGTCACGTACCTTTGCGCGAATCTGGAAATTTTCGCGCACTTTGTTGTTCAGTATTAGATCTAGATAGCGCTGACGATAGCGAGTCTCCTTGTCTTTAAGTCCGAAATGCAGATGCGGCAGCATGTGCAGACAGGGTGAGAGGAGTTTCAGCTCAGTGGGCATAATGGATAGTTCACCCTTCTTGGTCTTGCCGGGATGACCATTGACGCCAATGATATCGCCACGACGCAACTTGGCCGTGTCTTGCTCGAACGCCGCTTCACTTTTGTATGATTTAGCACTGGCCATCACTTGCAGCTTGACACCCTCGCCGCGTAAGTCGTAAAAGATGAGCTTGGCACCGGACTCGCGTATGGCATGAATACGTCCAGCAACACTTAAATTGACCTGGTCGAGCGTTTCGCCGTCTTTGAGCTGAGCATATTGTTCAATAAACTTTTCCAGTGAGATGCTAACGTGGAATTTGTGTGGATACGGATGATTTTCAGATGTTTGCTTTAAGTCGGCAACAGCAGCTGATCTCAGCTTAAAGTATTCATTGGGTGAGATCTCCTCTTCCTGTTCGGCGGAAGATTTTTTCTTGTGACCGGCATCGGGAGTCTCGGTAGCTAAGCGCGTTGCCTCCTTTTCAGCCTTTTCCTTGGCCTTCTGCTCAGCCTTCAGCCGGCGTTTCAGCTCACTGAAAATAAGCACCATATCAGATAAGTTTCATGAGACCGAGCTAATTTTACGAACAGTTTTGTACGTTTACTTGGGGCCAGATGTATATCGGCCACATGGTAAAATCTCGAAGCTGTCACCGTTAGTTGTTTGATTGTTGACGAATATACCAAGTGTCTAACTATGGTGCGTGCAAGCATTTTGCAGACGTTACTTTCAGGTGATATTTTATTTATGGCTTATCTATCAACCGCTTTCAACCAACGAAACAGTTCGACTTAACCTCACATTTGCTGACTAATTGGCCGCCTTTTGATGATGATGATAAACACGTCAATTTAAGCAATGATTGCGTGTACTTACTTCTTGGACAATTCACCAGTTGCAGTTGCCATGCCGCTTGACGTCTTAAAAGTTTCAGCTTATAATATGCTTTGAAACTACCAAATATAAATAAACCTTGCGAATCCGCCACACACTCGAAGTGAATTGAAATGATATTTATATACAAAAAATATCGATACATCGCTACATGCCATTATATAGAAATTCACAAATTTGGCAAAAGACCGCGTTGCCAACGAATCTAAACACGTGTTGCTAGTACATCAGCTGATTTACCTAAGTAAAGTATGGCAATGCTGATAAAATTAGTTTGGAGATCGTGAGTATAAATGTCGTGATTTTCATAAATAGTTTTCCTCATACAAATTGACACTTCCCTAAATCTTAAATACAAAAATATCCACAAACACGAACATCATCCCAACATTAAATTACTTATTAGAATATTTTCTGAACTATGTCTATTAGATTTTACACCATATATTTCAAATTTGAAAAGTAGTTGCGTCTGGGCCGCGACAAACATATATGTTCACGCACACATCACCAATCAGCAGGTGAAATTGTGCCGGGTTGCCCGAAGCTGAGTGGTAAAGTAGGAAAAAATATTGAAATATAAAATACATAGCAAACGTTTCTAATACCTTTCAGCCCTATATACAACTGGCGATTTATAATATTCGTCAAAAATAAAAACAGAAAATCCAAAAAAAAAATATATATAAATTCGTGTACCACAGAGCATAAGCCATGGTAACGGTTGGACTTTTATCGAGCCTGCTCTGCGGCCGCGGTGTTGGCAGCGGCGTTGTCTGCATTCTAGCGCGCATCGCCAGCCCTAGAGTTAATCTCAATCTAAATCCACGTTGCCTCAGCTTCTTGGGCAGCATCAATAAGGGAAATGGCAGACCATCGGCCTCATCATTATCCTCATCAACATTGCCTTCAACAACCACGACAGCGACAACAATATTGTCACCGCTGCTTGTCGCCAGATATCGCAGCTATGCGCGTCTTAGCACTAAATCAAACTCGCACTGTGCCAACGCCAACAAGACGGACACCAAATCCTCATCAACGGCCACCACGACAACTAGCACCAGCAACAGCACCAGCACCAGCACCAGCACCACCACCACCAATGTGTCCAACTCCAACGAACTGTTTGGCGAGGCGGCAAACATGGGCCTCTTCGCCAAGTTCAAGCACATGTATAAGCAATATTGGTATGTGCTTATACCTGTCCACGTGATAACATCGATTGGATGGTTCGGCGGCTTTTACTACCTATCAAAAAGGTGAGCGACTGGCAGCACCTTCATTTAACACCCACAATTTTTCATATGGTAACTTTATATTTGGCCAACAGCGGCGTCGACGTGCCTGCCGTGCTTCAGTACTTACACCTGAGCGAGAACATCATTGAGAAGGTGCAAGGCTCTGATATGGGCCACTACGCGATCGCCTATCTGTGCTATAAGGTGGCTACACCAGTGCGTTATGCATTGACACTGGGTAAGGCCTATCGGAAAACAATAGAATAATCATATTGTATATATTTTGTTTCTTTTTTATAGGTGGAACCACGTTATCTATCAAATATCTGGTGCAGTGGGGTCATATCAAGCCGATGCCAACCAAGAGCCAGTTGATAAAGATGTACGAGGATACGAAGGCTACGCGCGCCAGTGCCAAGGCTAGCAAGGATGAGAATCGCAAATGATCGACGGTTATAAGGCGCCTTCATCGTCGCCTATTGTCGTTGTCACTTGCCATTCGGCGTTCAGTTGGCTAGTTGTATTTTTATGTTAAGCTTTTTCACGTTCATTAAGGCAAATGTTGTTTCTGGATATTATCTTCCCGCCCAGACGCATCTGAAAACATACAATCGGGGATAACATATTTTTTAACGCCGCTGCATACGTTTGAGAGGATTACACATGAATGAATATTTCATATATATATATATATATATTTTGTAATAACAGTTTTGCATAGTTTTTTGTTCGTTACGAAATCATTGCCTATTGCCGTATGTAAAGGAGAGCCATACTCACACACTCATGCGATCTCGCATGCACACAGCAGACTCAATCAAACATAAATATAAACAAGCAGACGCGCACATTCACTGTCACGAATACTCACACGTACTCACACACATTCACATTAACGGACACACAATAGAAAGCATCACGGTGCGGCAGCTTCCGATACAAACCAAAAGGGAATGTATATTTTGTAAATGTATTGAAAAAGTTATCGATAAAAAACCGAAGTGGTATAAAACGTAAAGATTTGTCTCTTCCTTTACGTTAATTACCCATCACGCACATCGATTCTTCTTTCAAAGTCCAATCAGAAGAGATTCGCAGCTGCTATACTACCTGATATACAAATGAAAGCTATATACACATGTATAGCTTTCTCACTCACGATCGTAAAATTCCCAAACAATATGTCTCAAAGTAAATGACAATGAGAGAAAGGCGCTATAGCGCCTCTATTTCAGTTAGATCTTAATTTTCAAACCAATAAAACCGATTGAATTGGATTTTGTTTTTTTGCATTTTATATTTCGTTATCTTTTTGACTTTTTTTATTTTTCATTTTTTTTGTTTGTAACGTTAGTAAAATATCCAACAATTATAATTTTAACTAATAGTTAAGCCAGAAAAAATATATATAGTAGTAGTTGTTGTTTCATTCTTTTACAAATAAATAAATAATGTGTCTTGTTTTTGTTGTTGTTTGCTTTAGTGTTTATGCTCGGTGTGTGTGTGTGTGTGTGTTTGTTAAGTTATAGTAGCTCGTTATGTGTATGGGGCAAGTAAGTGTATTTATTGTTTGAATCTTGCTTGTTTCGGGGCACAAGCAATATTATGTACACATACATACATACATATGTATTTCGGTTGCACTTCGTGTATCATTTACATAAATACAAAATACAATACAATAAATAAATAAATTAAATAGGCAACAAATAAGGTAGCAATAGCAAAAATATAAAAATAAAAATT